TCAAAAGCTCAGCTACAGCAGTTCCAGCTAAAGGCTTAGACCTCTTGGGGTTCTGATTTTCTATTTTTTAATGAGCACATTAATGAATTTGTTGTTTAGAGACAGGATCACAGGACCCTGTTTAACTTATTTATTTTTCCTGTATTTTAGTGCCCTTAGTGGTATAGGAGACTTAAATGTTAACCTTTATTATTTTTCGTTACATTTCTTTCATTTTCATTTGTGAAAATCCATGTTCCTAATTGCAGATGTACAAGAGTTGGAGAAGGTTGCATTTTTGCCTGCAGCAAATGGTACTCGGCTGGTGAAAGCAAGTTCTCTCTTTGTGCGCCTGGGAGTTAACTTGTCCCCTTTTGTATTTGAACTTCCCTCTATCTATCTCCCCTTTGTAAGGATCCTCAAAAACATGGGTTTACAGGAAACGCTTTCTGTATCTAGTGCAAAAGACCTTCTCTTGAATCTTCAGAAAGCATGTGGATATCAACGTTTAAATCCAAATGAACTCCGTGCAGTAATGGAAATTTTACATTTCATTTGTGATGAGACTGAGGATTTTAAGTCAGAGAGGTCTCGTTGGCATTTTGATGCAGTAGTACCAGATGATGGCAGCAGACTTGTGCACGCCAGGTCATGTGTATATATTGATTCCTGTGGCTCCCGGTTTGTTAAATTTATCAACTCATCCAGACTCAGGTTTGTCCATCCAAGTGTTCCAGAAAAGACATGTTTAACTTTGGGCATCAGGAAGTTATCTGATCTAGTTGAGGAGGTAGACAACCACCTTAAATAATCAAACTTTGTTTTTTTATTGTATTTGTCTATTTGATGCCTTATTTCTGGATGCTCATACTTTTCAGGAACTGAATGTTGAGGTGCATGCTCTGGGAAGTATTGGCCCAGTTTCATTGGAATTCATGAGGCAAAAGCTGTTGAGCAGATCATTTCAGGATGCAGTGTTCAAGATTCTTAGCAGTGTTAAAAGTAACATTCCAGCATTCAATACTTTATCTCCAGATGAAGTGAATTATTTGCTTGAGGATGCAGCAGACAAGATAGAGTTTGTTCAGTCCATTTATACTCGGTTTTTGCTTCTTCCTGATTGCATTGACATTACCTACGTTCCAAAGGACTCAACACTTCCAGAGTGGGCTGCAGAATTTGAGCATCGTGCTCTTTACTACATCCATAAAGGGAAGAACCTCTATCTAGTTGCTGAACCTCCAAATTATATCTCTGTTGTAGATGTGATTTCCATTGTCTTGAGTGATATTTTAGGTTCTCCTAGCCCATTGCCTCTTAGGTCTTTATTTCTCTGCCCAGAAAACTCAGAGAGTGCACTCACTGATGTTTTGAGAATCTGCTTTGAAAACAAAGGAAGTGTGACTATGAAGAACAACAGTGACTTGATAGGCAAAGATATATTGGCTCAAGATGCTCGTCAAGTTCAATTCCACCCTTTAAGGCCATTTTACATGGGAGAAATAGTAGCATGGCGGTCTCAAAATGGAGAGAAGCTGAAGTATGGTAAAGTTCCAGAAGATGTTAGACCCTCAGCAGGGCAAGCACTCTATCGGTTTGGAGTTGAAATTGCTCCTGGAGTGATAAACAGTCTTCTGTCTTCACAGGTCTTCTCATTCAGAAGTGTATCCCTGGATGAGGAGGGTTCATCAGTAGTGCCAGATAATAATGATATGGTATCTCAAAACACTTTGCATATACCAATTCCAGAAGATGCCAGAAGAGACAACATTGCATCAACACAGGTATTTTTTTTTTTCCTTTATATATTTTTGAAGGGTTTTTGTTTCAACACCTCAGAAAAGTATATGCCAATCAAAGTGAAAGGGGAAGGGAAAGATAAAGAGATCTGGGAAGGAACTTCCTCTTCTGTATAAAAATACGGGTAGTATAGATTTAAATCTCAGATACCTAATAATCAACTTATGAATCTGTAGGGAAGATGATAGAATTTATGGGGATTTGTGTGTACATTATGAATTGTATATACATCACACATGCACATGAGTGCACACTGTTTCATGGGAGTTAAATCTATACTCCCTCTGTCCTATAATATTATGCATGTAGAGCCTGTTTCAAATATGGTTTTTAAAGGTTGTTGGATTTTCAACAGAGGTTGGTTTAGGGTCGTTCCGGTGGTCGAGTTTCAAGGGTGGCTACAATTTTTGGCTGGGGTATTCTTAACTAGAAATGTGAGGAAAAACCTTGATAATTCCATGTATGACATGAAACATATATTACGAGACCTTACATGAATCAACATTTTTTTTTTTATTTTTTTTTTTTGGCTACCAAAATTTATGTCCACAAATAAGAAGCTAATAGTTTGCAATGTTTTTAACCAAGTAAAACACCCTTACAAGGACAAAGTTTAGGACGGAAATTTTCGAGAATGAAGTTACTCCCATCGTTTGTAATAATCACAACACAAGGAATTCCACAAAGTTTTAGGAAAATTATAGGGTAGAGACCATTAGTGGAATTTTGTAATATTAAGTATAGCTAGTAGGGATATATTTTTAATTTAGTAAGGGAGAGAAATACGTAGCTTATGGGTTTCCCACTGCCAGTCCCAAGCTTGGATAAAGTATAGTTAGTAGGGATATATAAAGGAGGGTTATTGTTGGCCAGTGATGTCACATCACATGAGCCAAAATGATATTTTTTTATTTTTGTAGAGAGAAAGTGGGGTTAGTGGGAGAGAGAAATAATAAAATAGTAATGAGTCCTTACCAAATGAAGAAGTGATGCAATTAATGGAATGATCGTAAAAGGAAAGTGTTGCGATGATTACAAAACAAATGAAGTATAACTGTTTGATCAATTTCACCATAATCGCCAAAAATGTATTGTCTCATAATTATTACCTGTTTGCTCCCAAAATTAACACCCTTCCTATTTAGATGATAACAATAGTTGTAGGGGTTATAAATAACTGTTTTACTTAGAATAGCTGCTTATATCTTCTTGATCTCCCTGAACACTGTCAGTGGTTGGTTTCCATATGGGCTACTTATATATTGTTGCTCTTTCACGCTTACAGGCTCTTGGTTCTATGCTTCTGTGATTACGTTCTTTCATGTTTTCTAGCTTCTGATAGATTTGTTTGTTTAAACTTTTTGTTAAATGATGCCTCTGGAAAATTTGCTGGATTTTGTTGAAAATTGCTTATAAGACATTTCCTGGGCAACTGCAGACAGGTAAAGATCTCCGCTATGGGCGAGTTTCGCCTGCAGAATTGGTTCAGGCAGTTCATGAGATGCTCTCGGCCGCTGGGGTCAATATTGATATGGAAACACAGACACTGCTACGAACAAACTTGACCCTGCAGGAACGACTTAAGGATTCTGAAGCAGCATTATTGCTTGAACAGGTCTCTGTCCTTAATCCATGATATACCATTTATTTAAAAATAAATAAATAAAACACTACTGTTTGCTTGGAAATTCATGAACAATATCTTAACATGAATGCCTTAATTTTAAACAATTTTCCTGAATTTGGGGTAAATATTCATCATGATTATACTAGTCTCGTTCGGTTTAACTTCTCCTTCGACTTTAATTAGTTACTTCATTTTGTTTAAGGTCTAATCTTAATTATTTTTCACGTGGGATCTTGTTATATTTTTTTTTTCTAATTAACTTGTTACTTTCTCTGTGTTTTTTTTTTTTTAACTTACAACATTTTCATTTCATGCTTGCTAATGCATTATTCCAATTATTTATATTTCTTATAATCAATAAGTAAAAATTATATGTGATATTATGAAAGTATAATAAAATGAATATATCAAGATCCCACGTGAATATTTTTTTCTAAATAAATTGTAAAGTATCAAAGGTACTCAAAGTAGTATATGTGAATAGTGCTTAAGTTAAAGTGTTGCAAGTAGAATACTAAGGAAGCATTAGTTTTCAAAAAATTATAACATTCTTTATATCTTACGGTTCCTTGTGACGATTTATGTTAGCCAACCCCAAATCATTTTGGGAATAAGGCTTTGTTGTTGGTGATGGTGGTGCTGTGTTGCGTTTATGTTCATAATGTATGTTCTACACCTGATGAGATGCTCTTGTGAAAAAACGCAGGACAAGGCTGATACTGCAGCTAGAGAAGCTGATACAGCTAAAGCAGCATGGCAGTGCCGGATATGTTTGAGTGCTGAAGTAGATGTTACACTCGTTCCTTGTGGGCATGTGCTTTGTCGCAGGTGCTCCTCTGCTGTTTCTAAGTGTCCCTTCTGCCGTCTCCAGGTTTCAAAGACATTGAGGATCTTTCGGCCATGATAATCTTGATTGCTTCAACACACATGCCTTTTGTTCTGTGTATTAGTGGGTGGAAGTCACTGCGGAACTTTGCCTTCACCCCATGACAATAAAGAATCAGATACGTGATGTATTATTTTCAAGCTCAAAGAGGGTTCGTCTGCTTCGGCTTCATTTTTTTGTATAGTGTACTGTATATATATTATATAACCACCTAGGTGATTAGATCTTTGGTGGTCATCATAAAGTCATTGTAATTATAGACCAAACAGCTTCCATTCAGATGGTAATATAGGTAGAGGGTTGTAGAGAAAGGCTTATTTTTTGAATTATATACGACTATTATTTTACATAAAATATATCTAAGGCTTTTAATTACAGAGAGAGTGATTAGGTACAGACAAGAAAATGATGTAATTATATGCTTAACATTTACAATTTAGGTGTTCAATGGAATTTGGGATAGATTTGTATCCCTAAAATTGAACCTGCCTTTTTTTTCTTCTGCTCATATGACTATTTATTTCTTTATTTCCTTCCTACGTGCTTTGGACTCGTAGACTAGAAAAGTCATAGCTTATTACACCAAATCTTGTTCAATCTTTTTTATCCTACGGATTGGTGTCAAATTTATGCGAATAGAATCAGAAATTGGCCGAAAAAAGGAGATAGGAAAACTAAATGTACAAAATAATTATGACTAAAAATCGATGCCATTAAAAGATGAACCAAATTTCGGCTCAAGTTACAGATATATCCTTGAAGACAGAGAATTTACAGAATCAGTTCATGCTAATCAACCCAATTAGTCACGGTATTTCTCGGAGGAAAAGTGATTGTTGCTTTTCAACAAGACTGGTATACAATAGCTCGGTACAAAAACTAATATAAAAAAAAAAGATCCTGTTGTAATTACAATATCATATATCGACAATGAAAGAATCACCTCAGCTTTCCTTGGATACTCGTACAAGGAAAATTGTAAGGATACTCATACAACAGATACAAAACTTGACCGCGATCAATGAGGAACCTGCATGTGGTTAAATAGACAATGTAGTTAGAGGTAGCTTCATTATACCTAAATTGAAGAACAAGCTCCACCAAACATTTTCCTATATAATAATTTGATAATCATCTATGTATTCTCAGTTAAACAGGGCAAAGATGCGGTACAGGAATACAGCTCCAAAAGTCGTAAAATTATGCTTGGAATCATTTCTAGCGAGACTTCCACTCTTTAAAGGCTGTCCCATAACACAATATATGTTACGTTTTGGATTTGTCAATGATACAGAAGGAAAAAAACATCCAGTTTTCTAGCAAAGTAGAATAGATCTCTAAAACTGAAGTTGTAACTGGCTTACCTGAGTATACATCATCTTTATCCGAGGTATCTAAGCAAAACTCCGTCATTTCCAAGAACAAACCCCGTCTTATCATCAATGAACCTGCAAAGCACGAGGTTACTATTCAATACTGCATGAACCAACTATTTAGGAGTCCTGATACTCATGTATCTGCGGTTTAAAAAATATATATATATATATAGAGAGAGAGAGAGAGAGAGATAAAAGACTTAACTATTGCAATAACATGCAAGTGTTTAAGGGTTAAAGGATAATTATAAATGTGACTGTAAGCATCAGGACGCAGATACAGACGTTTAAAAGCAGTTTACTTCACCTTTCTTAGGAAACTAAAATAAGAGCAAATTCCAAACAAAAGAAATCCATCTTTTGTTTCTTGGATGACCAGAAAAACTGATGTTCATGAATAACTGCAGTAATCATTAAGATGTAAGAGCTTACTTCACAGAATACAGATTTGCAGCGATGTTGTCAGCTGCTTTGTCACGCGTCCAGGTCTTACCACCATTTGTGGATCTCAATAGAATACCACTTCCTCCAGCTGCCCAAGCTTCATCCTACATTTCAGAAGAATTCATAACATTGAGAGTAAGCAACAAAAAGAAGCTCTCAGTGGGACCCTGTAGAGGGCAGACGTAAAAAGGATAAAAATTTGATACTACCCAAGTAGACATCATTTTCTTAAAAAGAGTTATAGTTATCAATAAAGCTGTAAGAAAAATATTATACTACAGAATACATGTTATTTTGATAAGTAAACAATTACGGTCTTATTCTGCTACCACTTTCACTTGCCAGAAAAAAGGGTGCAATCATTTAAGGGCAACTATTGGCAAAGATATCATGGCTCAATGACGTAACTTTAATGATAGGTCTGCAACAACAAAGAATAATCACTACTTTGGAACATGATGAAATTTAATGGCTAATTAGTCTATCAGTGATTCAGAACCCTCATAGAGTCGTTGAGTAAATGTTGATGCTGATTTCAGATTTTAAAACAAATAAATAAATAAATACTTTCTTCGTTTTTTATTAGATGCATCACTTTTTATATATGGACAATTTAGATGCATTACTTTTCCTTTGAGTCAATAATTTCTCTGTTTCTCTCATATCACATGGGCCCCATTAATTTTTTCTCTCTCTTTCTACTCCAAAAATTGCCAAGGAGTCTGCAATTTTCAAAGTGATGCATCTAATAAAAAACGGATGAAGTACATAAATTTAAAACATACTTTCATTCAACTCTCTGTTGCTTCTTTTCTTAAAGTAGCAGCAAGCCGTGGCTATTCTATGAGGAAACAGCATCTCTTCCAGAAAACACCAGTATATGCAGTAAGCCATTGAACAGAATTAACACCCTCTACTCCCCCCACCCCCCACCCCACCCCCCCCCCCCCCTCTCCCCGTCAAGAATGACAACATTAAGGAGAGACTCATCAGAGAAACTTTATTGGTTGCTAAAATTTGTTTATTATGAATCACAACAAAGAAAACAGTTATTAGTGAAAGATCTAATGGTAGCAACCCTTCTTTGTAGGGGAACAATAGCTTAAGTTATAAGAGCTAAATAAGCACTCTTAAGTCTCGAGTAGCAAACCAAGTTGACCACCCAACCATTTACAAAACCATGTTAATATAAAAAGCAAAATGAGAGAAGAACCTCCTCTTGTAATGCACCACCTTGCTAATAGTGTAACACTAACGAAGGAAATGGACAATGTCACCCACATGGATTTGCTCCATTAAAACTAAGTACACCATCAATATCCAAAATAAACCAAATGGGTCCCTGGAGTAGAGACAGGAATAGAAGACAGCCTAGTCACATGACATCTTCACAAGATGTCCCGGTCACCTTAACATAAGGTCTTTAAGGATAAATCTCAAAGCATGCAGCTAAATTAACCATTTCCTACCTTGGTTACGTTTATACAAAGGGCATATGCATAGGTCTTAGCTAGATTTCGCAGTCACTTCATGTTAGATGCAGTCTTGGTGATGCAGATATCCGATATTTATAGTTCAATAGTGTAAACAAATTCACATCAGTTTCACAGTAGAGCATATACAGTGGTACAAATTCACATCAGTTTCACAGTAGAGCATATACAGTGGTTTGCAGTTCAACTACACGCCTGCATTGAACCTCAAATGATTGAAGTTTGAAGCCATTTTATAAGGAGAAAGTAAAAGAAGATATGTGATAGTACATATCCCCATCATAAGATACAAAATCAAAGAATACCTGTGAGCGATATCCAACGTCAAGAATGCCAAAACCACGACTTTGTACAGACACTTCCTCAAAGTCCTCTGACATCTGCAGAATGACACTGGCATTAAACTGAGACTGAAGAAAGCAGCAAAAACCCCAAAGGAGTCCAAATATTTCATGATTGATAGTCTAACTATAAACATATGCAGAATAAAGATGAAATCAGATACATAATACATTCACCATCCAATTCAAAATTATTAAAGCAAAATAATTTTGCTGTACAAAAATTTCAAGTAGATCCTCGACTCCAGCCATCTTTCATTTCTATCTTTTAGTTTCATAATTCATTTATTCTTCACACAGACATAGACATGATTCCAGATTACTTGAGATAAAATCAGAAAGAAAATATAATCTAATGTGAGTATGTAGTGACCCAGAAAGACAAACAGAGAAATGACATTTTCAAAAATTGTCTGAATATATTTAAAGGTTCGAAAACAGGGCTTGACAATGATATACGATGACGCACAACAAGAGAAAGTAATGGAGTTCCATATAAAGGTAAACAATATTAGCACAGACCCCAGATCCCTTGCTTAGATACAGTCCACCACCACGTACAAGCAGCCAAAGACCACCATCGGCTCTCCAACCCATGTTCTGAATTCTTCTTGCAATTGTTCGGTTATGTGGCTGCCAGTAAGCCTGAAAATGATTTTACACTTGGTGATCCAAAAAATATGATATAAGAAAATGTATACAAAAAACAAGATCATATAAAATTGTTAAGAAAATGTATTATCAGATAATAGCAGAGATTAAACTTTTCCTTTAAAAAATCAATAGATGGTTTATGTAAAAATCTTGCTTCCATTTAAAACTTCTTCTCCACACCCCCACACACTCCTCCTTTTCTAAGGTTGTCCTATGAGCATTCCTTATGACGATATATACATGTTCAAGCTGATGTTATTCCATATTCATAAATGGCTTAGAGAAGCAATAAGCTAAGCATGTCATCTTTAATGTGCTGGAAATATAAGTTTTTGCAAGATCTAAAATTGCAGGGCAAAAAAGGATGCTACCTGGCCAGGTTCCCAAGTCAGATAAAAGTTACCACGGCTCGAAACAGCAACATATCGACCATCTGGGGAGCGATTCACAGTATTGAAGGTACCTGTGTAGTAACTTGCACCACTGATACCACTAGAGACTGTTCTGCAAAAGCAACAAAGCTCTATAAGTGGAATGAAAATTGTATTCTTTTTTGTGCAACAAGCATCTTTCAAGTAAAATCATTTGTTAGTTACTATAATGAGATTGTCCACAATTTATAGACTTTTGACTTAATTACCCATATGTTCTCTCCCTAGTCTTTCCCACTTTATTGTCTCATGGCTACCCTGGTTTTCAATGTAACCAAAGCTAGACAACGGGTCGATTAAGAAAAAAAAAAAAAAAAAAAAGGCATTCATATAAGAGAACAAGGATATACTTAAAAAGGAAAGCCATATTGCAACAGTTTCTATCGCATAACAGGAATAATTGTATATTTTGTATAACAGCAAGCTAAAAGCATGAAATGCACATCATTCCAAGTCTAGCTGCCAGTGAAAGAAGTGACATCAAAAGCTGGCTAACGTTCTAAATTAACTTCTAAATTTCTTCTTAATTTAAAGATTACATATAATCATATGTTCTGTCACAAAGGCCTAAATATAAAGGAACTATAAGTGACAAGGTTTCAGAATAATTCACCTGTTAAGAGTAGCTGAAACAGTCTCCTGCACAGCAGCTTTCCAGTTGTAACCCCCATTTGAAGTATTGTAAATTGCTCCCTCATCAGTTACCATCTCAGCACTGTTTTCTCCTGTGGCCTTTATATAAACCTGAAGAGACAAACTGCACTTTAGTAGCTACACAACTGCAAATTAGAAGAAAATTAAATTGATTAAAACAAAACAAAACAAAACAAAACAATCATCTGTAAGTGGTTATTGAACAAGACAGAATATCTGTCTCAATTTTGTGAACCTAATCATTAAGTAGTCCTCAGAAAGCTTTCCTTCAAAATGATAGTCAATAATAACTTCCAAGCAAACAGCAACTTCCCAACTGCTGAGAAGTGAGAGTGGCAAATTTGATGCAGGACGATAAGGACTAGGACTCTAGGAGTCTCTGACAACTACTAACCATAGAAGCACAAGAACCTTAAATAGTTGGAAACATCATATACAACTGAAAGTTCCAAGTTCATCCAAAGACCAATGAAAAAAATTGAGCAACATCACTTCTTGAGCTCTTAATTGTATCTGCTTCTAGCAATACACCAATTTGACCAACCAAGAAAAAAAACGCTTACCATATCACCCGGAAGCTGAGAGCTCAATGGTATCCTTTTCCAGTTTTCCCCAGCATCATTAGTGTACAACAGAATCGCGGGCTTACCAACTATCCAACCTTCTTTCCCTCTGAAGCTTATGGAGTTGAATCTATAATTAAAATCCTCTTCTTCAGCTGATGCTATCTCACGCGGGACCCAAGTCTGTCCTGCATCCTTTGTCTCCAAAATAGTTTGCCTTGTCCCTAACAGAAACCCTGCAAGCCAAAACATTCCTTCAGCCTTTTGTACAAGACTTCTTTTTATACATAAGAGAATCAGCCTTAGAAAGCACCACAAATTACTTAAGAATTAAGATTATGACTTTGTAGTTCCTCAAAGTAAAAGAGCTTCAGTTAAACTTTGTTAGGGAAAAGTAATGAATTTACTTCCTCCGTTTCAAAATAATTACTAATTGATTGACCAGCCATCCTTCCGTCCTTACTCTCTTGAGTAAGCAAGTCAACTACCTTCACTTTTTATTTCAGCGTCTCCAATGCAATAGTGTGGCCATTAATATCATTTATGTATTATAAATTATTATGACACATGGATAGCAGATGAAGCAATCCTGACTAGCAAAGGTAGTAAGGGCCTTCCGAGGCAATCAAAGGCGACACAAATCATTCAATCATTTTAGAAAAACATGTTGATTATCAAACTGAAGGCAACTATATGAAATGATTCTGTAAATTCAGAAGGAGATTAGAAATGTGGGCCGAATTTCTAATGTATTTGAACGCTATGATGTGTTATGAACATTGTCTTAGAAACAAAACTCTAGCAAGCTCCCACACCTTTGCATAATATCCAACACCAATTTCAGCAACAAAATCAATTTAACATCAAAGCATATTACATTAGTCGATAAAATACAAAATTTTATTACTATACAAAATAAGTACTCTCTAATTCTCAGAATGATTTTTATATCACACCTCCAATTCATTTTTCACAATCACATTAATAGCGCATTTGTTGAATTGTTCAGAGTACTCAAATTCTATCAAAAGCTCATCACATCAACCAAATAAAAAATATATATATATCACAAAGTGACAAAACACAATTCTGAAAAAATCAGATTATACAAACTCTACTCAAAATGAATTTTCAGCCAAAAAAAAAAAAAAAAAAAAAAAAAAAAAAAAAAAAAAAACAATAATTACAACAAATATTAGAAAATTCAGATTACACAAATTAGACTCAAAATGTGATGAAAAATCAGCCAAAAAAAACAATTATTCAAATGAAAATTAAACCACAAATATTAGAAAATTCAGATTACACAAAATTTACAGAAAAATATTAATTGAAACGAAAATTAAACCAAAAACATTAGAAAAATCAGATGATTCAAAAACTAATTAAAATCAAAATTCAGCAAAATAAAATTAAAAAGCGAGTACCGTGATTAGGATCATCAGGAACAAAGGCGATATCAAGGAGAACAACACCAGGATCAATCGGAAGATAAACTCTCTCCCATTCAGAAAGCACGTCATCGGACTTCGCAGGAAGAGTAGTCAACAACGGCGACATTGACAACGACAACGAAAGCGCAGTAGTATTCGTTAAGAAGACTCTTCGAGGTTGTTGTGGCGGCGGAGTAGAGGAAGAAGCAGCAGCTCTAGGAGGAGAAAAACGACGTTGTTGAGTGAGAGGAGAGAGAGTGAGACGGCTGACGGCGGTGGTTGAAGACGCCATTGTTGCCGGAAAGAGCTTTCTCTCTCCTAATAGTACTGGGATTGTTGTGGTGTTATCTAGTTTTGGTGTTTGTTTCTTATCTTGTTGAATATCAATGATTTCGCGGGGTTATGGAATTGTCTGGATAACGTTGTTTTGAAATGCTATTAAATATCAATATAATGTAATTGTTTGAATCATTTGATCGAAAGGGGATGTAGCTCAGATGGTAGAGCGCTCGCTTAGCATGCGAGAGGTACGGGGATCGATACCCTGCATCTCCATATTTTTTTCGAGTTTGGACACGAGAAATTGTGTTAAGGTCCGGTCTAGTTCAGTTCGATTTTTTATCATCTCTACTTGAATGTAATTTAAATTTGGATCATGCATACTGTCATATTGATATTTATTTAAATTTTTAAGTAATACTGACGAATGAAATATAATTTTTATTCTTTTTTAATGATATTTCAAATTTATGTTGCTTTGTCTAGTGTTAGCCCAATCTCCGTACTGGTATTTGATAGGATTGAATTGGTTGATGATCAAGTCTCAACAAGCTTCAATTATGGCCCTGGTACGGGTAAAAAAGATGTTTTTATTATATGCATTCAAAATTCATGTCAAAACAACAATTGTACTATGAGTTTTGACAATAAGTTTGCTTTTGTAAGGGATCGAGTTAGAGAAGTACATTATTCAGTTAAACATTAAATGGCTAAAAGTTGCAAATCAAGCATAGTAGTAAGGTAAGTCGAACTAGAGAATTTAAAAAGCTTGAGATCGACTCAACTCGAGTTCAAATCAAAGAATACAAACTAAGCTTGAATATCAATAATAAAGTTGAGTATTCAGATAAGTCGAACTTGAGAATTTAAGCTTGTACCAAGATTGAGACTCAACGCTAGTTCGAATCAAAGTATCACAAGCTAAGCTTGAGTATCCCTAAGCCCGTTTTCTATTCAATTCGGTTTGTTTACAACCCTACTTTCATTACAATCAATCATTACAAGTACTATCCAAAAATAAGTTAAAAGTATAGACCTTTTCTTAGTGTCGGCTTTGAAAGTGAACTACATGTGAGCCAATAATAAGAGAATTTGAGTAGTAACGGCGTAACGCCAATAGCCCAAACAAACACCACATAAACCATGTATCATTATTTCTGCTGTCGGTGGACACGGTGGACATACAACTTCTTTGGACTGTAATTATTTTTAAATTAACTTTATTTTATGGACCATGTTCTCATTAATTATACTTTTATTAATTAATTAATACTTTATTCCAATTGAATATTTTAGGGAAATTAAATTAATTGCTGTTGACCTTTGAGTATTACAGTAAGTATATAATGAGACTCTCAAGAATAATGAAAAAAAAATTCTATAAATAAACTCCATTATTGGTTCTACCGACACGTGTGAACTCACTTTTAGTCCACTCAATATTTGTTTAAAGAAAATAAAAAAAAATTTAAGTAGTGATTAAAATCTAGTCCAATCGAATCGTATTCTTCGATCCTTAATCTTTGTTCTTTACATCACTCTATTCTACTCTCACTCTAATATATTTAATATTTTAAGAATAAAAACTTACTACCTAATAATGCATTGTATCATTTGTATGAGTTGTTCAAAAGGGAGTATAGTTAATTTAAGTGAATAATGTATAGTATACTTTATGTGTGATAATTTTACACCCAATTTATTGTATAATCAGACTTACCCAATTAATATGAACAATCATATGTTTGTAGAGTAAGGATCTGTTCACATTTACTGAAATGAGTTGAGCTGAACTGAATTGATTGGAGCTGAACTGAAGTGAGCTGAAATGAATATTTTATGAGAGAGGGAAATTAAGAGCTGAACTGAACTGAACTGAAATTAAGTAAATGTGAACAAGCCCTAAGCCTAAGCTATTTTATAGTACCTCTCCTATTTCAAATAACTATGTTCACTTATTATATAAGTAATATGACACATAGTTTTAGGGAGGGGGAAAATTGCCTATCAATTATTACCTTGACACCAAGTATTGGTCAGACCAGCCTCACCCAAACATTTTTCAGTCCACCTTAACTCTTCCGCAAACACTGTCTCATCTTCTTTCTCATTTTCTCTCTCCTCTTTTTATTTTTAGCACACTTGATAATCAAACCTTAACAATAGTGAGATTGGTAACGTCAACAGCAAGAAACTCGTCGAGATCAAAGATGTCATCCATATATAGAGGAAAGGAGAGACAGTTTAAGAGAATTGAAGAGGATGGAGGAGAGATAGAATAAATAAAGATTGTTGATTATATTTGTCCATGATTTATGCTTGAATTGGCTTGATAATTGCTTGAGATTTTTGGATTTTTCGAAAAATGCCAAAAATAAATATTGATTTGGGGCTTTCTTGTGTTGTGTATAATTATTGATATTAATTGTCCCGTGTGGTTTGTATGTTGAATTGTGAGCGTTTTGATAACATTGCATGTATTTTGGTTGAGAAATGAGCATGTTATGTTATACCTATGAGCTTAGTACGGGACCTTCAATGGTGGTTCCGCCATTGTTGACCTTTTAGTTATTTTTATAAAGTAAATTATATTGTGTAGATTATATCATCTATAATAAGTTAGATGATATCATTTATAAGTTGGATGATATCATCCATTGTGTGTAGATGATGTCCCATATTAGTTCCATGATATCCTCTATTATATAGGTTTCATGATATTATCTATAGGCTGAATGATATCCTCTATTGGTTCTATGATATCATTTATAAGCTAGATGATATCATCCATTGCCTAGATGATATCATGTATACGCTTGATGATATATATCCTCTAATGATTATATGATATCATTTGTAGGCTGGATAATATCCTCTATTAGTTTGTTGGATGATATCATCTACCAACAAGAATTGTTGTTTCAAGGCTTGACTCACCAAACTATTAGTGAGTCAAGTCTCACGCAATACCTTCACTTATTTTAAAATTTAATTCATTGTAACAGAAACTGTTATTTTAGTAAAAAGGTAGATGTGCATGATCGAAGATAATGAGATAATTTTCAATAAATAAAAAAGTGTGCATCCCTAAATTTTATCTCAAATCAAAAATTACTTTTTTTAGATCTTCATGTGTTAATTTTTTTTATGATGCTCTTCTTTTACCCTAATGACAATTGACAATCAAACCAGTCTTATACTTCATCCGTTTCTTTTTAGTTGCAACGCTTTTCTATTTTGAAAATTGTTAATTACTCGCAACACTTTCGATTTTTGACATTTCTTTGTCTTTATCCCAAAGTTGCGAGTAATTTGGCCCGGAGGTAGTATAAGTTTTGCAATTAAAAAAAAAAGAAAAAAAAAAGTGGAGAAAGTATAACAAATAAGTAAAATTTGCCAAAATCAAGGATTTGCATAGACATTGTTTGGTAAAAACAAAGAATGTACTATGTTACGGAGTATTTAAATTATTACATATAAATAATTATAATATTTCTTTTAAATATCTCATTTACATTATTATAGTTTTTTTTTTTTTTTTTTAATAATCAAGAATATAGGCTATTAACCTATACTCTTTGTTTTTAAAAAAAGTCATGCTCAATAAATGACTATAATACAACCAACAATAGGTAAGGATAATCATCAATATTCAATACGATACCTAAAAAAAGGTTGAAGAAATGATGAGAAAGATACCAATGATTTAAGGGGAGGTATAGATAGATAATAAAATAATAATGATTTTAGGGAAGCCATGAATGATGTAGCTTTTATACATTTTTTTTTTTTGAAGAATTTTATACAATTTGTTTTTGTATACAAGTAGCTATTTTTCCTTAATTAATAATTTAGTATTTTCATTTTTTTTTGATGTGTTTTGATGAATCAAATCGAAACTTGATTGCTTCATTAAATTAAACTTGTCATTAATTATTAAAATATTGATGTTTATGAAGAGGTTAAAAATATTTACATTTGTAACAATTGTAATTTGTAAGGACCACATTTCTAATAAGTTAGAATATATAGAGTGTAAGATTAGTTTGAATAAGTTCAACAAAATATACTTTGGACAAATTAAGTTTTGTTGCATTGAATTTTAGTTCAAACATAGTCACATCTCACATGTTCTTCTAAACTGAAAAAAAGTTTAGATTAATAAACTTAGATATATGATACAAGTATGTTATAACAACTTAAAATAAGTCGGATATTGTCTTCGTCCCACTAAAATTGCTTTAATTTTTTTTTTTTTTGGTTATTCCATAGAGTTACTCCATACCTTTTTTGGAATTAGATAAAGATAAACATAAACGCTTGATAAAAAGACAAAGTTAAAGCCATGAGTGTTAAACTAAACCAAGTTTCAAAAGTTTTTTTTTTCCACCCATAGGACAATTTTAAGCCTTATTCGATTTTGACATTTTAAAATCAAGTTCTATAAGAAAAGATTAGATTGCTAAAACGCAAACTTATAAAACAAAGAGACTATAAACCTATAGCGTATTAGCATTGGATAAGTAAAATAACGAAGCAAAGAGATAAAAAGCCATTGTTTGTTTTTCTAGTTTATTGTTAAAACAAACTAATTAGAGCAATTAGAAAGCAATAATTTACGGATGAATTAAAGCTTTAAAGTAGAAAAAGAAAAGGAAAGTCCAACCACAAAATACTGATAACTCAGTATTTCTACTCTTCTTAAGAAAATTCCAGTATAAAAGCATTTGTTTTTTTTTCGTTAAGACTTAGAATTCCACTCACAAAAAATAAAAATGTTAAAAAAAAATTAAAAACAAATTCATTTTCTCTCTCCTCCAGATCTACACTTTCTCTCTCCTCAATTACCCTTCTTTTTCGCTCTACCTATCCCCAAAAAAATCCGTAACTTTTTTCTGTAATTTGTGTGAATTCGTCTTCATTCGTCGGTGTAAATTGGGGGAATTTCTTCAATATTAGGGTTTCATTTGATTCTTCATCGTAATATTATCACTTTGATTTTGATTCTGGTTAATTAATTATTTCATCGATTTCTGATTTTCACACTCTCATACAAAATCCTACTCCGATCCACATAATTTTTGCTGATTGATTTTCCTGCTAAGAAGAACATTTTCAATCAATTCAATTC